CCGAGGCTGTTTCTCCGTTCCCTTGAAAATTAGCCCCGAGCCGGCGAAGAAAATGGCGGGCCGGTACATCCGAGACGACGGGCTTCCTCTCTCTATCGCCTCTCGCGGCCGTTCCGAGGAAATCCTCGGTACCTTCGCTTGATTATGGCCCGGCTTCTCGACGGTCTCGATTTTCCTCGAGTTCAGTGTCCTTAGGTTCGGGTTTCGTGGTATAATATCGTGTAGAGTTTCCGCTTTAGCTGCCGTCAGGTTTATTACACCGCGAGATTTGGCAACAGTGGAACTGTTTGTCTTATTCCTCTTGTTCCTGCTAGTAACGATTTTCCTTCGTTGAAATGTCTTAAAAATAAACAAACAAATGAAACAAGCAACGTTCAATATTCATTAACTAAAATGTTCTAAAACTACAATTTCAAATTTAGAACTGAAAGTTCTAAACTACAATCTACTTCGATACACCAAAATCGTCCACACAATACGGAACAAACTCTATTAATCCCAAACAACTTAGTGTCCAATGAATTTCATTAACGTTCACATAGAAACAAAGTATTAACCCTTTGAACTTTGTAGGCTCCAATATTGCATCAGGAATAATATTAGATATTTTAACGAATCAAAGAAACCCTACAATTATTCGATTTTTCACACATACAAATTTTGCACCAAGGAAAATAAAAGATCTAAGAAATGTTGCAGCATTTTTCACTTTCGCTAGGGATACTATAGTGGTTACTATATTATAGATAATGAGAAGGTGGATCTTCATGAATTTAATGTGTATTTAATGAAATATGGAAACAACACGGACAATTAGATTACTTCGAAATGTATCATTCTATACAGAACGTTTAACAAACAAAATAACTGTACATATTATAGTGTTACTATAGTATAAATAACGAAAGGGTGGATCTCGAGTAATCGAGAGCTCGGAATAAATATATGTATTTAATAAAATAAAGCTAAAACTATGCTGAAAATATGAAATATGGGAACACGGACAACACGTAAAAAGTACAGAGTAACGATTTCCCCGGAAACGGGACCTCGAGAAAGCGCGATTCCCCGTTGATACAATCTAATCAGCATACCGCAGTGCAACAAGTTTCGTCGGCGCCTGTATGGCAGCGCCGTTACCATTTAATCGTCATCAACGACGAGTAATCAGATTACACTTCACCGTTCCGTAATGCCCGGGTCCTGCGCAGCGCTGCGCGTCTCCATTGAGCGCCGCGGGATCCTCGAGTCCTCTTTGATCTCGGGAGCCCCTAATTAATTCGCGACGTTGATTTCGAGGTCCGACGGAACGGCGGTGGGGGAACATTCGAGGTGGGTCTTCGTTTCTGCCCGCTTCGCGCGTCGTTCTCTCATTAATCATCCACCGACCTCGCCGTGTGACGACAACCGGCGACCGAAAGCGGCCGATGTAAATTAAGAAAAGGCTGTTTATACGCCGGCCGTCCTTCTTTCCGGCCCTTTCCCGGCTTATCGATTCGGCCGACACTTTCTTTCGGCCGGCCCTGAATAATGCAAACGTCGACCGAGATCCGTGACGGTCCGGATAAATGTCGCCCGGTGATCCGCGCCGACGTTGGAACGACGATTTCACGGCTGGCCGTTCGCTGCGCGAATAATGGAAAGATAAGGGTTCGATTACGTTTCGCTGGCAATTGGACGACCGAGCTTTTAACGTGATTAACACTTTCATGTCACGGTTCATAGAAATTTTCTTCTCTGTCGCTGGAAGCTTTTGAAAAGTTGTTCATTAAAGTGTACGAATATGAAATATAAAATTCATTATAATGTAATAAACTTGGCTGCTTTTTATTAAATGATACGTGTAATACGTGTAATACGTGTAATACGTGTGATTTCCAATAGCACTACGTTGAGGTCACCGCAAATAATAAACGGGATGCAAATGGCACCACGTTGGTGTCACCGAACGTGAAAGTGTTAACATGCGATTCTTGTGGGAATTGTGATAGTTATGATAATAGATTCTGTTCGGTCGTGTAGATTATGTTATTGACGTGAGACGAATTTTATTTAGAATCGTGTCCGGTGTTTAATTTTTTTAAATAGAGAGGTTTTAAATAGAATTCAACAAACAAATATTACTCGATTACTTTGAATTAGAATTAGGTATTATTCTTCTGTTATCAATGATTATATTATAGAGCAAACGTGGACATAGAACATGCATAGAATTCTTCTCTTTCCACAATAGTAATAAATGACGAAGTTGTATCGACAGTTGGAAAAGCATGGTAAGGGGTTAACATTATGTTTAGCGAGGGAAATCACAAAAACCGTTTAAATTTGTTTTTATGAAGATTGTAACAATATTTTCTATCCTGTTTCGTGGTATATTGATTATGTTATAGAAGTGAGACGATTTTTATTTAAAATCGTTTGGGTGTATAAACGGTGATAAAGGTTGTTTTAGTATTTTATACATTGATGAATTATATATTGGTTTTAATATTAAATATTGGACTTCGAAATTTTACCGTGTAGTTTTGTTATGGAAAAAACGCCTTTCAATTAAAACGATTTAATAGCTCTTTGATGTACGCAGAGCAAATATTTAGAAACTGAAAATGCGAGGGGGCTGCTGAATTTTTAACCCTTTGTGCTCGGTGGCATTTCGGCCCGATATTCCCGCTCGCAAGCCATACACTTTTAGCACACCGTCAGGCGAAGCTACAAAAATATTTTACCATATTCTGCAAACTGATGCACGCATAGAATAACAACAATACATCCACGAAGATGTTGATAGACACCTTTTGAAATGTTCACTGATAATTCTATTCTCAATTTAATCATTTTTCCTCAATTGAATTCTCGACATTTCCCATAGTTAATTTTATAATCTTTCCTGAAGGAGTCGAAAAATTAGTTCTAAATATACGAGTAAACTAGGAAGATAATTTTAAGTGAAAATTTCGAAGTTGACAGCTTCGGTGGAAATAATGTTACATTGCGTACCGACTAATTTTCAGAAAACGAAGCTGGCGTGGTTCGAGGTTGCATCGCGAAAGGAATTGTTTGTATGGGAATCGTAATAACCTGCGTATTCAACAAATATAGAAAATTATTAACCCTTTGCACTCGAATGTTTTTTACTAGAAGTATTCAATACTCTCTGATGAGATACAGACGATGTCCTTTGAAACTAATTAATGAGAAAACATATATAAATTAAGAAGGAAAGTTATTTTATTTCGATATTCCATATATCGATGCATCATACAAAGCTTAATATTATATATAAGACTTTATAATTTTGCAAATCAAATCAAGTGGTGACTGAGGGTCACCTCTCGAGTGCAAAGGGTTAAAAGCAAGTGGGAATGCTTGAATTTTTGCTGTGATCAACAAGCGAGTTCTATGTTAGCGTATCAATATCATTCCGCGTAGTCTCTGTTACATCTTTTTACTAATACACAATCATAATCATTACCTCGTTATTTACTCTGAATCATCAATATCGTCCACCAACGGAGACAAAAAGACGTTACCGCGCGATGACGTTCGTTTAACCGTTTCCCAGATCGTCGATGCAGTTATTCAACGCGCGGATTATTTGCGGAAACGTTCGCGGTCCAGTTCACTTCCGGCGTCGGGACTCCTGACATTTATATTTAAACGTTACGCGCGGCGAAATATTGATTGCGGGTTGAGAGTTCGAGGCGAGTGGGAAAATTACGACCAGCCGGCCGAGCGTCCACCACGCTTCGTTACCGTCGAAAACAGTAAAAGAGATATTGAAAACGTTCCGGTTTGCTTTCTCCCGCCAGAAGAGGGACCGGGGAGTTCAATTCGAGCGTGTCGCCGTCACGCTCGAATCCGGAATTAGAAAACGCAAGCCTTGAAAGGGAATTCGGAACGCGGTCGACAGCTAACGTCACGATCCCCGACGAGTCTCCGCCCTTTGAGCCTGTCCACGGACACCGGCGCGGGTAAAGCGTATCGACAATCGATTCTGCATGAAAAAATCTGTCGGAAACGTGCGACATTGTTTTCCCGTGCGACGCTTCGTTCTCGAGATAATCGCGTTTGATCGTTCGCAGAACGCGCCGCGCTCGTCTGATCGTGGCCGACCGTATCCACTTACTGCGGATGCTAATGCGTGCGCGAACTTTCGAAGTTATCTTGGGAACGAAGACTTCTATGGGAAAAGTTTCTTCCATGGTTTTTCTTATCATTTCGTCGTAGATTCAGATAGTGCTTTCTATATCGTTTTTATATCGATTATTAACCGTTTGCGCTGGAAATAGATTCAGAGATTTAAGTCTTGCGCGAAGAATGTTGTTTTCCTGTTTTACACGGATATGTACGCTAATTTCGTTTATTAATCATTTTGTTTAAAATGATACGTTTATAAACAATCTAACATATGTAACGCAACATCATTAACGTCTATAAAACGTCATTTTAGAATAAAAACATCTTTGCAAGAGGTTGAAATTTAAAGTGATTGAAATTTGAAAGAGATCGATATTAACACTCAGTAATCGAAGGTTCGAAGGACAGAGAGATTATCTTGAGTATTGTTTCAATGAACAAGGTTTCATTCGAATAATCATAATAATTATATTATACATTATGCTTTCCAATTGTCGGAAAATGTTCGTTGCAGTAGTCGGATGATATGATCATTAGTTTTCGAAGACTGAAGCGACACTGCGTTCCGTGGACAATGAATAATTAATAAGGACTGGTGGAAACATAATTACCGAGTGGTTCGTTAAGCAAAAATCCGTTTCAAGGAGGGATTAACTCGTTTCGAATTCTCATTGCGGCTGGGAGGACAGCTCTCGTGACGCCTCGGGCAAGAAAATCGCGTTCCGTATTCCGTCTGACGTCCCCGGGAGTCCGTTTCGCCGGTAATAAAGTCATTATACGTCCCGCGGGGGTCGGTTGAAAAATCGCGCATTAAACCGTGAATATTAATGCGCGCCGCGTGACCTTTGTTCTTGCAGAGAACGTGAGCCGCTGGTGCTGGACGAACGGGACATGGAGCAACTACTCGAACTACAGCTTCTGCCGGGACATGCACGAGACGTCGGTGGAGGGCGGCACCGAGATCATCTCGACGACGATTTATTTCGTCGGCTACTGCCTGTCTCTGTTCACCCTGGTCGTCGCTGTTTCGATATTCCTCTACTGCAAGTAAGACATTCGTATCGTTCCAAAGTATTTCTTTAGAAACGTAATATTTATGAGTTTATGGTTTATGAGTCGAATCTGTGATTTAATGTTTGTCACTTGGAATTTAGAAGTTTACGATTGATTAGTGGAAGTCACTGTTCGAACCTAATAATTATAACTTTGCGTTCGTTATTTGAATGTATGGTTTAAATCTAATATTTAATATTTTACAATTTACGAGTCGAATCTGTGATTCAATGTTTATCACTTGGAATTTAGAGGTATACGATTGATTAATGGAAGTCACTGTTCAAACATAATATTTACAACTTTGCGTTCATTATTTGAATCTACGGATTAAGTCTAATATTTAATACTTTACAATTTACTTTACAATAGTTCAATATTTACGACTTTACAATTTACATGTAATGTTTATAATTCAGTATTTATTACTTGGAATTTACAAGTTTACAGTTGACCACTAGTAGTCACTGTTCAAACTTAATGTTTACAAGTTTACGTTCTTTATTCGAATATATGGTTTAAATCTAATATTTAATACTTTAAAATTTACAAGTCGAATTTATAATTCAATATTTATTACTTTGAATTTACGACTATACAATTGACGACTGGAATCTACTGTTCAAACCTAACATTTACAAGTTTGCGTTCATTATTCGAACCTACGGTTCAAACCCAACATTTACAACTTTGAAATTTTCTACTCTAATCTACAATTCAAACCTGATATTTAATACTTTACAATTTACGACTTGGAATTACGATTCATGCCTAACATTCATTGAATCATAGATCAATCGAAACAGAAATATTCTTAACCAATTAGATCGTCGAACTTGTAACAGACGTTCAACAATGTCCGAACCTCTAGAGCCTATTACGTTTACAATCAAACTATTCGAAACTACGAGTGCAACTACACTGATCTAATTCAAAAGTTTCTACATAAAAACGGAGAATCTCGCGACGCGGAGACCTCGGTTGAATTTTCCGTCATGCCGGAGAGTATCAAGGGTAGATATAATCGTTCCGCCTTTATCATCACCGTTGCCGCCAGAGGGAAACGTTCTCCGGAATGTCTTCCCGCCAAGGGAGGCTACCATAAATATCAGAATAAAACTCCCAGCCGACATTGATAAAAACGAGGGCGAGACTTAGCGAAAATTAACGATATAATATCCGCACTGCTGCGCGAGGGAAAAAATACAAAATGCTTAATAGATTATTTTCGGTTTCTTCAGACGTTCATCACAGTATTCAAGTCAAAGCTATTTATTTTCAAGATCATTTCGAATATTCAATGCTTTTAAGATATCAATAATTGTGAAACAAAGTAATCGAAATCAGTGATTTTGACTGGTACGTAGTTCTAGTGTTAAATAAGTATACATATCCATGTGAAACATAAAAACCAAATTACTCGCTCAAGATTTTATCAAATCTCGAAATTAAATATTCCGTCGTACAATATCAGCGTAAAATAGGTAAAAACAAAATTCATCGCAGGAGACTTTGTCAAACTTCTCAATTCATTTCCAGCGCGAGCGGTTAAACATTCCCAGGATAAAGAACAGAAGCACACTCACCCTCGATAACGGCTCTTCCGTGTGAACGGCCCTTTACAAATCTCCCGTAAACCACGTAAATAATTCTCGCCGTTCCAGCATAGTCCACGGTACATCGAAACAGCAAGAATATTTCGACGCGGATCAACATCCGTCAGCCTTCAGCCTCGTCTTCGATCTATTCTGAATCAAACATTTACTTTTACAAGCAAGTTTACAGCTGTAAACAAAGTACCAGAAAAGATACGGTCGTAGCGCCAGGAATAGAATAGGTCGAATTCTCGTTCCCGGTATCGGATTATCGGACGAGCTCGATTTCCCGCGTGGAAACACCGTGTTCCGGGCAACTGCCGGCTTAATAAATGATTAGGAGCCCGGTGCGACGTGAAATGTCGTTTTCTTCGTTCGTCGGAGCGGCGGCGAGAAAATTTCACTGTCGAGCACCCGAGCGTGCAGCGTCGATGCTCGGCTGGCTATGCACAGAAGCCAATTCGGTTAGGAATTTCGCCCATCGATTTCTGGCTGAATCGCCCCGCCATTCGAATCCACTGAACGGGACACTGTGTCTCGACAATAGAGAACGCTTCTTCTTTTGCAACTGAATGGCCCGCTGATTGGCTGTTGCTGGCGCGTGCCTCTATTCTTGGCTTGTTTCGCTTTCGGATGCTCCTTTCGTGAAATTTCATTTATAAATATTGTCGCTTGACACGCTGAATGCCGCGGGGGTCGCCGGTGACTTCAACCGAAGCGAATTACTATGGTTCATTCGATTAAACGATGATTATTTGAGAACTTCTCTATATTATAAGTGATACCACCTAATACAGTGACGTTTAACAAGATAGATATCTGTTGAACGTTTTGTATATCTCGGAGAATCTTCGTCCACAAAGGGTTAAATGATCATTTGAAAATATTTCTATATTCTACATGATGCTACTTAATGCGGCGACGTTCAGATAGACGAATGTACAACGATAATGCAATTCAATCGAATGATTCAATATCTGATTTTTTCCATTTCATTTTTTGCTCTATGAAACCGTGGCGTTCGTCGTGTTAACCCCTTGCCCTACGAGTGAGACTCGTGGTGAAGATTTTCAACATGATTCAACAAATATATATATTATTCAGTTCAATCGAGTTCAAAGTAACTATTATACTTAACACTAGGTTTACGGAACGCGTCAATTTGACGCAGATTGAATTTTATAAGCATTATTTGGTAAATGTTTCAATCGGTTTTCGTTGATCCAATTACATGAATATGAATCCTGATTGTCTATTTCTACATCTACAATTTCCAAAATCTAAATGAACGAATATCAATAGAATAAACTGTACAATAAGTGCTCGTAAACCTAGTGTTAAAAGGAAATATAGGCATAACATAGAATTTTTCTCTTTTCCAATAAATTATTAATGACAAAATCGCCGTATCGATCAGAGTTGAGAAAGAAATCGTAGGCAAAGGGGTTAAAGGGCGCGCGTGTCAGCTGCCGTGACGGAATCGAGCAGAAGCTGAGCTCCGGGGTCGCGAGGTAACACGCGGCGGCGGCGGTTCACCGGAAACACGGCTCGAAGCTATGGGGAAACGCGAATTCTGCCGGATCCGTGGAACGTCGGATATTTTATTAAGCACGGTCGGGATTTGTATCGTACGCTTCCGAGGTGGATCCCGCGGTTCCAGCCGGCGGTAAATTATTGACGTCGCTATGCTGCCGTGCAGCCAGGCAGCCGGAATGAACTATGACCCGCGCGGGGAACGAAATATCGCGCGACGCTCCTGCCCTTCGCCTCTTTATCGCGTCACAAAGTACTTAACCCTTTGCCTTGCGATTTACTTCTTATCTAGGACGGATAGTAATGTGACATTAACACGTTGAACGCCATGGGGGTCACCGGTGACCCCCCGCCAAATCGAATTACAATAGTTCGTGCAATTGAACGGCGATTATTTGAAAAGATTTGTATATTACAAACAATGCTACCTAATGCATATTGAGCAAGATGAGCGCGCGATAATAATAACGCGAAGTCAATCAAATGATTTAATATTATATCTTTATCATTTTGTGTGTTTTGCTCTAACGATAATAAGATATTTAACTACTATACATTTAAGGATGTAACTTGCTGTGAATATCTTCCGAGCGAAGCTACAAGATTCTTCGTAAATCATGGAGGCTGCCCTTTGAACTGAGTAAAACAGATTGGAAGAAGACTGGATCAAAAGAATAAAGAAGTTCGTTGGGCATTGTATTCTATTCGACTTTACCGTTCGTCGATTCAATTTATTACTTGTTAACAGATACTCCATTGAGACTTTACGAGTATTAACAGTTTACTGGATCATAGTTTGCTTATGAACTGTATTGATTTTTCAAATAAAATATTAAGTTATATTCAAGTTAAAGTTATATTCAAGTTACTGTTCCGTCCGGGTCAGCTTCTAACTGGTAACGCATGCTGAATCCAGGAAAGAGAACGATCGTGGCGTAAAGATTTGGTAATTAGATAAGAACGATGCAGATTGCAGCGATTAACAATTGACCAGAGTTTTAAGCTTTAATTTTAAGTCAGATAAAGGAAAGAGTGGTATTTCGAGGACGTAAAAATTGACGGACGATTCGGTGGACAGGAATGGAACGGGATATTTCGGGTTTCGATCAATCGAACCGTGCCGCTGAATATTTCCCGTGGATAATGGGGCTGCGTGAAAAACGAAGAGCAAACAGAAACACCGAAACCGGGACAATAGTTGAATTCCCGCGCGGTGAACCGTGGGAAACTCGAATTTTCTCCTCCCTCCCCCTCCCTTCTCCGCGACACTACGCGTAACGACCCTTACGAATACTCGAACCTCGAGACGAACGCGCCGTCGCAAGTGACGCGAGTCGAGGGCGGAAACGGAGGCCGTTACGGGGGGCGGCAGGAAATTTAAGGAACACGAACAAAGGAAAAACGCTGAAGCGAGTTTACCTTCGGCGGGAAAGTATGAAAATTCCGGCGGGCGAAAAATCCGAGAGAAATTGCACAAAGAGCCGTTATCGAATGCCGAGTGAATTTTCATCGAATAATTCTCTCGCGATGAAATGAAATTTTTCTCGTAATTCTAAATTTCTCCTTTTATAATCTCATTTTTCCGTCCGCGAGTTCGTTAACTGATAGAATTGCTAAATCTCGAGTCAGACGTGTGGCTTTCGCGAGGCCTTACGCGGGATTTAATTGGCACGTGTTCCGTGTCACGGTGGAAATCGATATTGTAAATGAATGCTTTGGTTCTTTATGGAAATAGGTTTTGAAAGGAGAAAAGTGATTTTTCAGGGGAAAATTCGTTCTGTCGTAGTTGTTCATTGGCCGGTTCGTTGAAACTTTCCAATTAGTCCGTTCAGATTCGGTGAAGGTTATACAAATTTCTATTCCATTGCTTCAGGCGTTTTTTATAGTATCTACGTGAAACTATTTATTTTTCGAATCAATTTATATATTAAGTACTTTGAAAATACCGGTAATTGTGAAATAAGGTAATTGAAACCTGTTATTTTAATGGATCGTTCTAGTGTTAACGTAGTTTCCTCGAATTCGTTCATTAAAATATCCTATACAATAAATGGCGGCGCAGTGGAGTCTATAGAGTACAAAGGGTTAATAAATAAATAAATAAAATTAGGAAATAGTTATGAAATAAGGAAACTACAACCTGTAATCTTAATAAGTCATCCTAGTGTTAACGTAAAATTTCCTCAGATTCGTTCATTAAAATATTCCATACAATAAATGCTAGTGCAGCGGAGTCTATACAGCACAAAGGGTAAATAAATAAATAAAATTACAAAATAGTCACGAAATAAGGAAACTAAAATCTGTTATTTTAATGGATCGTTCTAGTGTTAACGTAGTTTCCTCAGATTCGTTCATTAAAACAATTCATACAATTAAATGGCGGCCTAGTTGAGTATATAGAGTACAAAGGGTTAATAAATAAATAAATAAAATTGCGGTCGAACCGAGTGTGTCGCGTAAACAGAGCGGAAGCTCGGTCGCCGCAAACAAAAGAGGTCAGTAACGAGCCCTCGGAACTTCCTGCCTCGGAACAGGGGTAATTCGCCGGGAACAACGGCGAAGACGACGGGATAACGATAGTTAAGCTCCTTTGGCTGTGTCGTACTCGAATAAGAGGCTAATGCAGCTGGCAAAACCAGATCGCGACTCTCCTCCCAGTTGCATTCGTTCGTTGTGTCTCGTCTTGCATAAGAATCGCATCAGCGCACACTGGAATATTTGCCCGACCTGGCGGCCAAAATCGAAGACAGGTTTACATCGACCTTTCACGGGAAAATATCAGAATCTAATATAATAACACGCAATAATATAATATTTAACCATTTGCGAACGAATGTCGGCATTTCGGCGAGATGAAATTTTCATATTTGGAACGCTGAGACGCAAACGGATGATTCAATTACTCGAATAGCAAGAAGTTAGCACGTAGTTTCCTTTTTTCAATTATCTAAGCAATCGATGTATAATTTATGCAAATGTATAATCGTTTAATCTATCGATTTTCTGCAAATTCTGATATTAACCCTTTGCAACGAATAGAACGACGTTTCAAATTTGCCATTCCCTTCGATTTTATTACGAATCCGACGTCGCATTACAGAACAGCGATAACGCATTATGAGAAATGAATCGCCAAACACTGCGAAAGCACTTTTTGGTAAGAGAACGAATAAAAACGTCCTTTGTTCGCCTCGGCAACGAAACGTCGGAGGATCCATCTTGATTACCGGGAGAAGTTCCCGGAGCTTTTACTCCGATCGGCGAAGTAATTCGGTCTTGCACTACCGAAATTACTTGGCACAAACCAGTAGCCGGCCAGCTTCGTCGTTTATCTTCCTTCTCGCAGGCGACAAAACTGGGATCAAACTATTTAAAACTCGGGATCTGATGTACGAGCTTATAAAGCGATAGATATACCGTCGTCCCGTTTATTCCGAAAGTTCGCCGCGAATTGTTTCGCGCGGACGCCGGGAAATCTCGGCTGGTAAATCACCGACCAATTTAACGGAACCGTGGAACAGAGTTTTTACTGCTGCGGGGAATGCGACGCGGGGAAATGAACTTGGGGAAGATCGGCGATCTAAGCGGCGGCACGGACCGACCGCGTATCGCTCGTCTCCGGAGATTTTTTACGATTCCACGGCGCTGCGAAAGTTCACCGGGAGTTGTAACGGGGAATTATGGAAATTGTTGCGTTAGATACCGAGCTCTCGTTATCTTTATTTTGTTCTTTTTGGGGGGGTTTCGATTGTGCTCGAATTATCGAGTTTGCAGGTATCAAATGTTCGAATATATTGAAATTCTTGAAATCTCAAATCGCTGTTTAAAATTATGTAAATTATTGCGTTATACACTGTGTTCTCGTTATGATTATTTTGTTCTTTTTGTCGTGAGTTTTGATTGTGCTCGAAGAATTCATTATCATATTTGCAGATATTAAATGTTCGAATATATTGGAATTCTTTGAATCTCAAGTTCACGTTCTTCGAAATTATGTAAATTTAGTTATTGTGTTCCCGTAATCTTTATTTTGCTTTTTTTGTTGTAAGTTTCCATTGTGGTAAAATAATTTATTTTCTAGTCTTCAGATATCAAATATTCCAATATTCAAATATTCAAGTATTCAAATATTCAAATATTCAAATATTCAAATATTCAAATATTCAAATATTCAAATATTCAGATATTCAAATATTCAAATATTCAAATATTCAGATATTCAAATATTCAAATATTCAAATATTCAAATATATTAAAATTCTTCAAATCTCAAATTGCTGCTTAAAATTATGTAAATTATTGCGTTATGCGCTGTGTTCTCGTTATCTTTATTTTACTGTTTTCCGTCGTGAGTTTCGATTGTGGTCAAATAATTCATTATCAAATCTTCAGATATCAAATATTCAAATAATCAAATATACAGAAATTCTTCAAAACTATGTAAATTATTCTACCAGGTACTGTGTTCTCGTTACCTTCATTTTCTCTTCTTCGTATCGCGAGTTTCCGCGATTCCAGTCAAACAATTCATTCCCAAACCTCCAGAAGCCAAACATTCAACCGTTCAAATATCCTCAATTCCTCGAAATCTAAAATTCACATTTTCCAAAACACTCGTCCCAAAATTAGAACAGCCTATTGACTTACTATTAAGGGCCGGCGATGTTAACAGTCTAAATATTTGTTTCAGGGAACTGAGGTGCCTCAGGAACAACATACACACGAACCTGATGCTCACCTACATCCTGGCGGACCTAATGTGGATCCTGAACAACGTGACACAGGTGCGACATCCGGTTTGCATTTCCGCTCCTTCCCCGAGCGGCGCTCTTTTGTTTCCATGTTCCTCATTAGAAAAATTTCCCGCATTTGTCGCGTGAAGAGCACTCCTAATTTCCGGTCGGGATTCCTCCGCCCCCGAGGGTTAATAAAAAAAACAAGAAGGCGCGACAGCGAGCGGAGTTTCAAAAGCTTTTAACCTGAATAAAAAAAGAAGTCGCCGCTGAACTAAAACACCCGCCACTTGTTGCTGCAACATGGAATCAGCATATCTTTTTTCGGCAAGAAGGACATTCGTTAAGAATCGATAATTATTCATATCATCGAAAAATGTTATAGATAATCAATTCATATGAAGTTTAATATTTTTCAAATATTGTAATGATCAGCGAAGTTGTGTAGCTAAGTGTCTTCATATAAAAACGAAATTTCCAACATTTTAATATTTTCCAATGTGTGATACGCGACATTTTTAGACGAACTGAATGATAGAACATACAAGTTAAGAAACACAGTTGTTTCTATATTTCACTTGTTTATGAATTACACGAAGTTTAACCCTTTGAACTCTGTAGGCTCCAATATTGCAGGAATAGTATTAGATACTTTAACGAAGCAAAGAAACTACCCTACAATTATTAAATTTTTCACATATCCAAATTTTGTGCTAGGGATACTATAAAAATTAGTTGCAGTTGCTGATAGATTGCAAAACCATCTGGAATGTTAAGGGTTAATAATTAGATAAAAAGCAATTGATCAATTGATTTAGATAAAAATTAATATTGATTGTAATCAATATTAATCGATTAAATATTGGATTACAGATGTTTGCGGGTTGTTCACGAATATCTCGGGAAATGAAGTGAGAAATTTTATGCAGTTTAATATTTTTAATGAATATTATTGAATTCATATTATTTTCATTGATTAATGTATTATTTTTAATCTACTGAAATTAATTATTTTATGGAAAATATAAATCTCCACGAGCCTTGATGTATACACTCACCGTGAGGTAATTAAAATTCGCAATTTATTCGTGATTATCATATAAATTATTACATTAACATCGTATAAAACAGAAGAATCGTAAGGTTCGATGATTGTCCTTGTTTCGAGATGTTTACAGTGACCATCGATATTCGTATAAAATCGTTTTGATTAACTCCTGAAACGATTCGCGATGAATTCGGTCGTACAAAGGACTCGGCGATTCCGCGCTTGTAAAATCCAACTTCGAGCGGTCCAATATTCAGAGTATTAATGCAATATTAATAAATCCTGCGCAGCGTGACTTGAAAGCGATCAAAATTATCCTTCGTGCTTGATGAGAGTAATTAAATTCTGCGCTGCGGAGTTGGATTTCAAAACTGTGATACCTGCCACGTGATATTCGTGATAACGTACAAGTGTCTAATTAAAAACGTGTCAAGGAACATCCTACGAATGAACTAAACTCGCATAAGACGTTTACAAAGAGTCGACCTTAACAATATCTCGTACAAGTCGAGCCAAAATGAATCATCTTTCGAAACGATTGCAAACTTTATCACAGAGAACACGAATCAGAAGGAAGTAAATCATCGTAGAGAAGATTCTAATTGTGGACAACGTTCCAACAGCTTGCCTCGACAAACAGACTAATTATAAATTATCATCAATTCACCGGCAGCCTGCCAGATTGCAACGAAAGACGTTCGAACTCGTTAAAGCGCTAATTCCCCATTAATCTCGAAATCTCTGTCCAGAAACTCGCTAAATCCAGCAGCTTCTCAACAGGTTCACAACGGCGCAGTAATTTACAGTTTCTCATCTGGCGGCTGAATTCTCAAAGTTGATAACAATATTGAAATGATCGATAAGTAAATTAATTTTCAACTTGTTCAACTTGTTTGCAGTGTTTTCTAATTACAAACCATTTGTCGAACCACACATTTGATAGTACACTATCAATGATCAATTAATCAAACTGATAATTTGATGCTATCAAATTCGCTATCAGTGTCACATTTCTGACGGCCGCAATTCTGTATTCTATATAAAGAGAATTTAATTAACCCTTCCCACTCGACAATACTTCATTACAGACATTCATTATTTTCTGACGAAATATTTAACAATATTATTTGCAACTTATATGAGGGAACATCTTGCATAAATTATAGGGCAGAATTCTTTTATTATTTAACATTTCATATTGAATTTTTCATTTTATAACTTTCTCTTTAATTTTAAGAGATTCAATGACTCGTTCCAGCTTCATTTGTGTCAATAGTTTCTTTAGATCTATTGAATTGAATAAAATTTTATAATTCTGAGTATCGCCACTGAAACAAATGTACTGCAATATAATTTGTACAGTATTCCTAACGAAAATGAAAAATGCTATAACATTTCTTCGATCTTTTATTTTCCTTCTCAGTGCAGAATTTGGATATATGGAAAATCTAATAATTCTAGGGTAGTTTTTTTAAGATTCATTCAAATATTTAATACCATGAGTGGTGCAATATTGGAGCCTACAGAGTTCAAAGGGTTAAACCGTTCCAGAAATCGCGAAACACGTTGGTGCTTGTCCGGGTTGCCCGAGACGCATTCAAAACTCGCAGCGACGTCGTGATCATTGTCAAATCGCGTACAAAGAAAAGGAACAGGGTCGCGGAACGACTCGAACAGTCCGTAACACTTTGTTAAAGGGGCTAATTGTCGCCAATTAGCCGGGGAAACGATTCTTCCTGGCGGTACCGGCAAACATTAGCGCGGGAACGTTTTCCATTACTCGCGAAATTCCCGAAAGCGAGGCTAACGAGTCGGCTGGGAAGGAAAATTAATTACAGCCGTTGAGTGGCCGTCGGGGCCCCGGGTTTTTCGATAATTAAAAGGCAGACGCGAACGATGGGAATCGTTCCGCGCGACGCCAATGGAATCACGCCCGTTTCAAACAGCCTTTGGTCTGGTCGTTACGCTACAGCCAAATAAACGCGCGACCAGTCGCGGACGCCATCTTGGCCAGTTTCTCGATTCTCGGTCGAACCGCGCCCTTTGCCGCGATATTTTACGCCTGTCGGATAAAACGAAACGATTTCAACCGGCCCGTTCGCGCAGCGATCTTATTCCGAACGATTGACAGACAGTTATTGACTCGGAGTTCCAATTTATCTGGATTTCAGAAATATTGCGGTTCTATAACGTTTGTATACAGTTTCATTGTTCGTGCGTCACGCGCCGCGGGCAAATAGAGAACTCGTGACGGTTTTTAGAAATCGGAAATAATTGAATATTAAAAGTGGTTGTGGTTATCGTTGTTAATATTACTGTTCTGAAGTTTCTCGGGTAACGACGATAATAATTACTATTGTCATTATTAACCGCTATTATTAATATTATCAATATTTTTATATTTACAAGACAATAAAGACAACAGTCATTACTATCTCTGTTTCGAAATTTCTCAGATAACGATAATAATTACTATTGTTATTATTAACCGCTATTATTAATATCATCAATATTTTTATATTTCCAAGACAACAACGACAACAGTCATTACAACCTCAGTTCCGAAGTTTCTCAGATAACGATAATAATTAATATCCCACGTCACTATTAATTACTATTATTAATACTTCTCAGATTTCCAAGATAATAACGATAACAATATTAGTAACGTCCCGAAGTTTCTCGGCTAACTGATAATTATTATTATCACTGTTCCCAGGTCTCCATGCAGCCAGACATACCGACCTGCATCGTCTTCCTCTCCCTGCTGAACTATTTCCAACTAACAAACTACTTCTGGATGTTCGTGGAAGGTAATTAGCCGGCTTAGCGCTCGCAGTTCGTTTCCCCGGATCAAGAGTCGCGCGGGGAGAACCGGAGGGAACGGAGAAAAACTCTCGTTGCTCGCGTCTGTCGCGCGACGAATTAACGCTAATCAACTGCGGACGATTTAATGAGGGACGGAAGGGCGGGGGGATTTAACTTGCTTGCCACCGGCATGAATTATGCAGCGAACCGAGCGAAAAACGTGTCCCCTTCGTTTCAGGGTTGTACCTGTTCCTGCAGGTCGTGAAGACTTTCACTACGAACAACGTCAAGCTGAGGCTGTTCCTTGTCATCGGCTGGGGTAATGGTCCACACTTCATCGTTCCGCCCTTGTTTCGAAATGACAGAGCTGCCGTAAAAGAAACGTGTAACAAGAGGAAGAATAAAACGCTCGCGTTGCCCGGCGATTCCCTCGGATCCAAGGATCTAGGGAAATCATGAAGGATAAAGTTTCCGAACGAGGATAACAATGGTCCCCCGTGCAAATAGATGATCGGACATGATACTAGACTAGAACGAATCAACATTAACCCTGAAACTACCCGGCGAGTCAAATTGACTCTAGAATGCTTATCGCGCAAGTATTGACGGTGGTCTGAGAATGATGTCCAATGAAATGTATCTATATAGCTGCAATGCTGGGACACCATTCGAATCTCAAGAAACATATTCTAATTTCTGTAAAAGTGGGACAAGTTGGTCTAATTCCTCGGTAGTTTTAGCGTTAACGTTTAGCTGGTTCGTTATTCTAACGAAAAAGACTATTCTGTAGTATAAAAATTCATGTGTAGAGCTAACTCGAGAATATGAGATTCACGAGATACGTAGGAACCGGAAATTCGCTAGAATAGGAAACATTGAGCATAGAAACGGAAACTAGAAAGCGAAAGGTTCAAGAAAGTAGAAAATAATGCAGCTGCAAGACTAGAACACTCTTCGAATCTCAGGAAACATATTCTAATTTCTATAGAAGTGAAATTCCTCGGTAGTTTTAGCGTTAACGTTTAGCTGCTTTAATATTCTATCGGAAGAAGAGATCATTCTGTAGAAATCCGCTAGAATAGAAAACATTGAGCATAGAAAACAGAAACTAGAAAGCGAAAGGTTCAAGAAAGTAGAAAGATAATGCAAATGGGAAACACAGGAATACAGAGAACAGTACAAACGCTCCAATCGAATCAATTTTCAGGTATGCCGGTGCTGTTCATCGCGGCGTGGGCCATCGCGAAATCGCTCGATCGGACTATCATGACCCCAGCGAAGCAGGTAAGGGGTGAAACGTCAACGCTCGTTCCCGTACCTGTCCACTCGCGTGCGTCTGTGCGTGTCCGCGGACTGCACCGGCGCACGGCGGCGTGGTCCGGACAGTTGATGGCCAGCGTAAACCTCGGTTGCGAGCAGCGCGGCAAGGAAAACAAAGGGAGGATCCGCTTCGTAGCCGGATCATCCGTCGAATGCCTCGCTCGCGCATTCCCTCTCGGCGCACGAACGACCGGACTAGCTGCGATCAAATTGATGGAACGTAACAGCTGTTGAATCCTTCTGCCACCGTCATCCCCTAAATTTTCGCCCGCACGCGGCGAGCGTGTCGGGAGGGAAGCTTCGCGATCAGTTTCACGGAGAGATCCGTTGTAATCGCGTCGACGGGAAACGTGACGCGGAGGAACGAGGCAGATGATGCCTGTTCAAAGATTGCTTGTGTGCATCGAGATCGGCGAAGATAGATCCCTCGTCCTTTGCTTTTGAGTTGATCGAGCTCGATCGTGATTGGATCACGGACGGAACGGGTGATAAGGATATTGGTTGCATTCGTTGGGTTAGAGGAGTCAGCTGATCGTTTATGCTTTGTGCTCCTCTGCGCTTAACGCATTGCGTGCCGAGTAATCTTCTGAAAGCTGAATTGTGATGGCAATTTTCAATGAGATCAACTTATATGACTATACATACAAAAATTCAGATATCATATTATTATGTAATATATTTTAAATAGATAATCAATTCGAATCAAATTTAATATTTTTTTCAATGCTGTGGTAATTGGCGAAGTATAGCTAAGTGTGTTTATAAAAAAACGAGATTTCTCGATTAAAAATTGTAAATTATATTTAGGAACTCAATAACTCGTTTCAGTTTCATTTCTCTAATACTTTGGTTAGAATGTTTAATAATTCGTTCCTAATAACACAAAGTTATCGAGAAAAGAACTGTGAAAAGAACTCAAAGTGTAAGGGCTTAATAAGAAATCCATGAAAAATATCATTTTCAACTATCAGTTTATCGCTGTTAAATCTGAACCGATCCGATTCGCCCCAGTCTACCCCAATTCCCTGTTCACCGCGTAGATTATTTCAACCAAGAAATCTATCGACAGAGTAGTATACTAAGACATCTATCGATAGAGTAGTATACTAAAAAATCTATCGATGGAGTAGTATACTAAGAAATCTATCGATAGAGTAGTATACCAAGAAATCTATTGATAGAGCAGTATACTAAGACATCTATCGATAGAGTAGTATACTAAAAAATCTATCGATAGAGTAGTATATTAAAAAATCTATCGATAGAGTAGTGTACTAAAAAATCTATCAATAGAGTAGTATACTGAGAAATCTATTGATAGAGTAGTATACCAAGAAATCTATCGATAGAGCAGTATACTAAGAAATCTATCGACAGAGCAGTATACTAAGAAATCTATCGATATCGATATTTATTCGAATATGATCATTCATACGAATATACTAGTTTCTCAATAATAATCTTACGTTAATCACGGATACGGTGCAGGTAAAGGTGAACTCTGACGAGCGGTTTATATTCGTATAATTTCCTGTACAAATGTCTCTCGAACACGTAAAATTCTCTCGCGTTCGATCGAAGTTCAAGATTCCAATTTCGAAATTCGTCGTATCGGGCACAACGCGGTTCGATACACATGAAACGATCGCGCTCGCGCCGAGAGTATATTGAAACTCGTCGAAATATCACTGATTTTTCGACTTTTCCTTTCGTCTAGCCGGAACTCTTTTGTCTCCGCCGAATGGACACGCGCGTTTGTCGAGTGCACGTCACTCACAGGCGGACCTGTTCGCCGTTTCGCTCATAACGGACTGGCGTCGCCTCTCGGCGCGTTTTAATTTCGCTTTGAAATTTCGCGAAATGAGATACCGTTGAATGAAACTGATCCGGTCTCTCTTTTTATGTACGCTGGAACGCCGGGCGCAGACACACATATATACACACTGGCTGGATATCACGAGTAGCGAAAGCCATCGACGTTTTGAGCGACGGATTAAATATCGACACTCGGGAACGGACTTCCGACTGTCCGCTCCCGATACGCAGTAACTTGGCTGTTTACTCGAAATTTCGCGCAGTCGTTCCTCTAGGAAATGTCTCGCTTCTGTTCCTCTCGGGAACTTCCTGTGACGTTCTCTAAGAAATACGCGAACGCCAGTGGTCTCCAATTTTTATGCTGCTATAATCTAAAAAACATTTTTTTAAATTAATCTTCACAATATCTAGAAATAAACTTCGTATCGTAAGGTAACAGTACAAATTCAATAAAGTAATGTTTAACACCTTTTCTATCATTTCCGAAAAAACTGAGTTCTACATTTATATGTACCGTAACAAGATGATTAGAACAAGCCTACAAGTTGTCATTCTAAATCTCCACGCTAAAAATTCTTTATTCCCCTAATTATAATTCCTAAACTCGTATTCTATTATATAATCCTATCATCTTATCGCAATAACGTATAAACTCAAATTTCATTAAAAAACAGAATTTCCATCTACCTCTCCACAGCAAAAAACAATGCCAACGAAGAAGCTGTTCGCTGGAGAACTCCATTTCGTCTTTATCGCGCGAAAATATTTACAACAATACGAGACGCGTCGCGAGCGTTCGAAAGAACGCTGGGAGCAGAAGCGAAGTCGCGCACACGCGATAAATAATTTATTGCGGAACGGAGGGAAATTAAATCCCGCCGGGGAGTGTGGTAGCACGGCGACGGTGCCGCGCGGATGAAATACAGCGCGGCGAGTCAACAGCCGCCGATAAGAATAAGGCATTATTTAAACGAGCGACGGCCGCGCGCCGAAAGAAAGTCAATGTTTGTGTGCCGGTCGTAAAGTCTGGCCTAGTTTCGCGGGGGCACGCCGATGCAATAAATGTGACCGTCGGTTCGCAGGAGATCGTGCTGGGGAAGCATTGTCCCTGGATGGTGTCGCACCCTTACGACTGGTTCTATCAGGCCCCGGCTATTCTGGTGCTCTGCGTCAACGTCGTGTTCCTCGTCATGATCATGTGGGTGAGTGGACGCGCGACGACTTCATTGTTTCCGGGGCGACCGATCAAAATCGTGATCTAAAACAGCCGAAGAAGAGGAACGATTAGAATATATGATTCATCTCGTGATTATGCTGGTTTGTCATGAGAATTTAACCCTTTGCAGTCGAGAGACGTACAGTCGCCACCTGATTCGACAGCAAACTTTCAAATTTTCAAATATTAAACCTTGTGTTCAACGCATAAAATATCGAAATAGTTCTGTCTCTTAATTTATAGAAGATGATCAATTGTGTTAGTTGCGAGAAATATCGTTAATATTTAGTTAGAAAGTAATGAATGTTTTTGATGAAAAATATTGTCGAGTGCAAAGGGTTAAGTGATTAAAACTAGAATTACGAGTACAACGTCTTTGGAAAGTTTGTTTATACGATTCTTTGACCCTTTGCGGTCCGAAGTGATCTTGGTTTCTCAATTTGAGGTTCACGTTAGTTCATTTAATTACAGCTTGATATGACACTCTATTTATTTATTTGAGAATATTTGAGAGTCATTGAAATGTTACTTTTAAATGGTATAATTGCGATACTACAAATAAATATAGAATTATTATTACCATCAATACCCTAAGTCCCAAAGTCTACAAGTACGGAAAGATCTAAGATAACTCCTATGATAACGATTTCTATGCCACAGGTGTTGACAACAAAACTAACGAAAAGGTTCCCTCGTCAATTACCCGACCCTTCATCGAAGTATATTTCCCAAACATCACATCGAAACTGTTTAAACCTTATAACACTTGAACTTTTCTCATATTACCATCAATACCCTAAGCCTCAAAGTCTACAAGTACGGAGAGATCTAAGATAACTCCTATGATAACGATTTCTATGCCACAGGTGCTGATAACGAAACTCTGGTCAGCGACGAACGCGGAGACGCAACAGTATCGGAAAGCGAGCAAGGCGCTGCTGGTGCTAATACCGCTGCTGGGGGTGACTTACGTGCTGGTACTGATGGGGCCCACCGAGGGTCAGGTTGCTAATGCATTCTACTATACCCGCGCTGTCTTACTTTCCTCCCAGGTAATGCAACCGGAACGAGTATCCCGTTACAAAGCGAACACTCGTACAAGTTCGAGGCTCTGCGCTCGAAGACGTTTCGGTGCCTTCCCCCTTTGACGGGGGACCGACGCGTCTCCCTTTGACAATGATTCCATGCGGGATCGCGATCCTAGTTGAAATTGTCTGACAGACAGCCGTGCTGGGAATAGTTGAGGGAACTGACGCGCAACAGTCGCGCGAACTTTGATTTCTTTGAGAAGATAAATAACTCTGCTAGCTTCCGAGTCTTCGAATTATTATTGATAGATTGATTCTTTGAAGATTCTTCGAAATATACGAAACCTTCGAGAGATAGAGATAAATTACACATCAGTTGCTTAACCCTTTGCACTCGGAAGTTTCTCGGTAGCAATATTTGGACATTTTCTGATGAGATGAAGACGACATTGTTTGAAACCTATTTAACGATAATTCACAGATAAATTAAGCAACAGAGCTGTTTTTTGCAAAATGTAATTTTAATTGATAATACTGAATACTCAATTTCATAGTTGTGCTGTATCAAATCAAGTGGTGACTGAGTCACCTTTCGAGTGCACAGGGTTAATTAATAGAAAAAGGGAAACTACGTCCTAATCTCTTGCTGTTCAATTAAATCATTTCTCTGTCTTCCAAATATGAACATTTCTCCAAATGTCGACATTCGTCCGCAAAGGGTTAATACACACTCAACTTCGATATCGGCGGAAGGAATTACTGAGCAAATTGGAAAACTTCGTTTCAGCGAGAAACTGGAGAGAGGAATATCAGCTGCCCTAGAATTTCGGACGAATCGGATTTTCCTAAGTTTTCAGTGTTTTGCTTATAAAACGAAAGTTTTCAAGTTTTCAATCATTTCTTTTACCCATATCGAAGCCGAATGTGTATTAACCCTTTCGAGTGCGACTCGACATCAGTTTTCAAATGCAATACATTATTATGCCTTCGATGTTATTAATGAATAGAATTGTTTACACTGCTTTCTGAGAACTACCCTTCAAAGGGTATTTCAAATCAAACGTCTCTAATAATACAAAGTTATCGAGAGAAGAACTGTAAAAAGAACTCAAAGTGTAAAGGGTTAATAAGTTTTCAGTGTTTTGCTTATGAAACGAAGGTTTTCAATCACTTCTTTTACCGATATCGGCAATTCTGACTAGCGAGCTGACGCGCAACAATTGCGCGTTGATTTCTTTGAGAAGATACACCCCTAACTTTAGCTTCTGAGTCTTCGATTATTATCGATGGGAGACTGACTTCTTTGAAATAAGCGAATTATTTTATGTTAGGTTGGACGTGAAACAGTTTATTGAGAATATAGAAATAAGTGACATAGGGTTTAGATCAGGTTGAAAATCATTGTTGTCAGGAGTACGTGTTTGATCGGTGAATATGAGTTTTCAAGGGATATCGTTCAACAGGGCCTGTTCGTAGCACTATTTTATTGTTTCCTGATCACGGAAGTGCAAAATGCAGTGAGGCATCATATTGTACGGTGGACGACGGCCCGTGATCTGGATACCGAGAGAAGATATTATAACAATTGGTCACCTCGCTCGAGAACAGAGAGTATAAGGTATTTTATTCCTCTACTTACGCAATGCTTTCGAAGAACAAAGTAAATCGAGATAAAAAGAGAGAAAGAGAGAGAGAGAGGAGAGCGAGAGAGAGCGAGAGAGAGAAAGAGAGAGAGAGAATCAACAATTAAATTAGGCTGCGAGACACGTGGCGACGCCGATTAATCTAAAAATAAAATTTTCAGGAAAGTTACCTAATTACTATTTTATTAAAATCTTCCATTTAGAGATATCTAAGTCACCTTCGAAGTAAGGAACAAATACTGTTGTCTATTTATGCTGTTAGTCCGATCCGTCAGCGTCGTTTCTGATACGGATCTTTTCGTTTTGCAGATTGTATTGCCCTCCGTCGCACACGTATAGAAAAAGAGACTCGTCGGTCAGCGAGACGACCACCACGACGGTGATCGTTGTGAACTCGACGACGACGTTCCTGGATAAATCAAAGAAAGCCATCTCTGAGGATCTGAATGAGTAGAACCGGGGCGCGACGAGCGTTGAAACCTGCCGAACGATATAACACGTGATCTACCTTCGAGCAGAGAATTTGCAGGTTCAGCGATCGCTAAGGAATGGTTGGAGAAATCACAAGATCTGAACGTATGAGACAATGCTTCAACAATGTTTTTTATTTGGAATCTTCATTGCGTTAGAAAAAAATTGGATATTTCTTTCATCCCGCCATTCACGCATTCATTCGCCGGCACGTTTTGCATCCTAGCACTCTCACGTGTCCTTCGTTAGTTGTTTATCTTTCTTTCTTTTTTCTTTTTTTTTTATCGTTCGTTCGTTCG